CCATTTCCACGCCCTCTCTAACGCCCACCATCTCCTTAAACGATCTTAAAAGATGTCTGGCCCCCACTCTTTTAAATATTTCGGAAAAAAAATGCAGTTTTATTGTCTTTATCAATGCCTATCAGAATTTAGAAGAAATTAGAAATTATTCAAATCGGATCTTTAGTTAAAAAGTTATGCGTGAACAAAGATTTATATCTCCATCTCCCTCCCACTCCCTTAAGTTGAGTAACGGGTATCTGATAGTCGGGGCACCCGACTATAGCGTTCTTTCTTGCTTTAAGTTCCTAACCTATAATTCCAAACGAATACAAAAATTAAAACTCTTTCAGTCAAATTGAATAAATTTATTAATAATTTAAATAAGTTGGGAGAAGGAAATAAGTTGAATGAAAATACATTAAGCAAGTTCAATTTCCATCGCAACGGGGGTACCCTCTGTGGTCGTTGTAGTACTTATATCAAATTGGACAATATTATGCTCATTGGGATTTTCTCTTGCTTTGTGTTCATCTGAAACAAATGTATGGCCGCCACCTGAATTATAATTATTTCCCAATCCAGTTCGGTCTCGATCATATCCACTGCCGCCACCTAGACCAAGTCCTCCAGCTCCTAAGCCTCCTTGAATACCTTGTCCTTGGTAATTATTATTGTTACCATTTGCACCCATCCTGCCACCTCCTTGAAGGCCTCCTTGGTATCCACCTAGACCATTTCCATTGTTACCCATTAAAACTCCTCCTTGAGCACTATATCTGTCGCCACCTGTACCATGCGAAACTTCGCTAACAAGAACAGGTCCTGGTAGTCCTCCACCTCCTACTCCTCCTGGAAGACCTCCTTGGTATCTACCTGGATAATATCCAGTTCCAGTGCCTTGCATTGGGTATCCATTTCCGCTGCTAGCAATGGTACCTTGGACTGGCGCCTGGTATCCTCCTCCTCCAACTTGAACAGGTCCTGGGTACACTCCTAGATGATTTCCAGTGTTACCAATTGTACCCTGGCCTTGTCCTTGAACTGATCCTTGATATCCATTCTGATCAAATCGGTTATTGCCAAGTGTAGTTTGGTCTTGTCCCTGCGCTTGGTATCCTCCACCTCCTACTCCTAATTGTCCACCAGGATCTAGTCCTGTGCCAGTATTTTGTCCTTGGAATCTATTTGCATCATAAACATTGCTACCAACAGTAGCTCCTCCTCCTTGAAGGTATCCTTGGTATCCACTTTGACCATATCCATTGTTAGCAATTGGACCCTGGCCTTGTCCTTGAGCAGGTCCCTGGAATCCACTTGCAACCGGCGCTCCTCCACCTCCTACACCTCCTTGAATACCTTGTCCTTGGTATGGATCATATTTATTGATGCCACTGGCACCTATTCCCCCTCCCAAAGGCGATCCTTGGAATCCATTCTGATCATATCGGTTGTTACCAAGTGCACCTTGGTCTTGTCCCTGAGCTTGGCTTCCTCGAACTCCTCCTTGGTGTCCTCTGGGATCATTCCCACTGTTATCTTGTCCTTGTCCTTGTCCAGGTCCTTGGTATCCATTCGGTTCATATTGGCTGTTACCAATTGTTCCTTTTCCTTGTCCTTGGAATCCAGTTGTACTATATCCACCATTATCTTTTCCTTGGCCTGCAACTGAATTCAGTTGGATCTGATAGTCAATCCAGGGTTTCATTTTGGAAACATCGGTGTAGGCTGCAGCGATTGGATCTCCGCATCCGGCTCCGAAGTTGACGATGCCGACCTGCTCATAGCGAGTGGGATCGCCTTGGATCGGACAGGCTAGTGGAGCTCCTCCGTCGCCCTCGCACGAATCCTTGCCAGCCTCTCCACCGGCGCAGATAAGGCTGCTATCAAGCTGGAAGGCTGAGGTATAGGGCCCCTTCAGTTGCTGCTCGCACGTGGCGCTGTCCACCAACGGCACCTCGATCTTCTTCAGGAGATTCATGTAGCTGATGGCGTTCAAGTTCTTCTTACCCCAGCCACTGACGATGCATCTATTCCATGAGAACCTCCAATTTGCTGGCGGCAGGCAGATGAGGTTTATGTGGCGGGATAGTTGAAGAGGTCTGGCAAGGAACAGGAGGGCCACATTGTTGGCCCCGTTTGCCTCATTGAATCCTGAATGACGCACGATCTTCCTGATAAAGACGTCCTCATGCTTCTGCTGCTCGGTGTTGGTATGGAGATCCCATTCGCCAGCCCGTACGATGAACTGGTTCTCGGCGAGATTACGGATCACACTGGCTGTTGTGAGCACCACATCCGGCGCGATCAGGGAGCCACCGCCGATCGGCTGGACGTATTGGGCATCCAAAAGTACCACCATCCAGGGAAGTTCGCCCTCCTGCGCGGTGTCCCCCGAGTTGGCTATGGTGAAGGTCAGGCCATTGCGATTTACGTTTCCACAACCTTGAATCGGTTGATGGGCACCCTGATTTATGATTGGAAATTGTGTCTGTGAGGGCAAGTCATTGTTAATAAGAGTTAATATGTTATTCTTTCTGTGAACATTACAATTTCTGTGATCGGACAGCAGGTTTCGGCGGCAGGGCATCCGTTGTTGCCATCTGATAGAGATCGGAACTGTATGATGGGCGTTCCGGTTTCGGAGTCAACTCTGCAAAGGCTTCGCGCAACGCACTCCTTATCTTGGGAGTTACCGCAAAAAAGGGCCTGCACCCTGTAGAGCCCCAGGATTATACAAAGGATCGAAGGGCGAACCATTGTACTCGCCAGAATTTAGTCAACTGATGCCTGCCTCTTAAGCCATAGCTATTTATAGGTAAATAAAGCGGGTATATTGTTCATTTAATAAAATTGATAAGATTTGTTGACATATCTTGGCGGCGCTGCGAAAGCACGTAATGAAAGTAAGATCTTTGTTCCATAATACATACATTTTTGTTTTTCGTATCAGCAAATGCCCAATAATGATTTTCAAAAGAGAAAACGGGGAGAAACGCTATAGTCGAGTGATACGACGAATACTCTCATAAATCTTACCAAGGTTTTCCATGACAACAATGATTTTTATCACCTAATAGGAAAAAAAAATGTTTTTATAATTGTATTTTTTTTGTATTATTAAGATTTGATTTTAAATAAAATAGTTTTAATAGTTAATTAATTTACTACCATTTCTGAGTTTAATTTCTAATTTATAGTATTTCGGATGATAAGGTACCATAATTATTTTTTTGAATTTTACAAACGGAAAGAAGACATTAAAACGGGAAAACCCCATAAAAACGCGTTCACTGATTAAATTAAAAGCTTATCGCATTTCCTGGAACTGCAAGAATATATTGAAAAGTTCAAAAGTCAATGGTTTTCTGGCTGCAATCAGCAACTGTATTTTTTATGATTTCCATAGAAAATATATACTTAAATATATACTTAAAACGGAATATGTAGCGCTGGTAGCTAAGTGGGAACGCATCGTAGCTGGCGTCATCTGTGGGGTGGTTGCCGAACTACACTCATAGAAATTTTTACCTAAATACTAGAAAAGTCGCCCTAAAACCGAGGTTGCCCTAAAGCTACGAAAAATTTTCTTATTATACGGGTGGCTAGCCCTAAATATACGAAAAATCGCCATGGAAAATATTTTTTAGGGTTACTTTTTCCAAAAAGGCCAATTTGCTCTGTTTTTTAGGGCGAAATTTTATGACGCAATAAATGGATGCATACATGTAAAACATGTTATGTACATGTGTGTGTAGTTGACAGGTCAAAAAGTGAGTAAGAATGTGTAGCCCAGCGGTCTAAGCACTCGCACTTTCAGCTTTGCTGTTTGAAAATACAGGTCGTGGGTTCGATTCCTGTGTGAGTCAACACTGTTTATTTTTTTTTTTTACAGTTTTTATTACTAATTAAGTTTTTTCGTCCGCATTTTAAATTTAAAGTAGTCTTAAAAACCTAAATACATATGGAAATTCTGAGTTTAAAGACTAATTTATGTTAAGCATGCGAGGAAACGGCCCGAAGTATCCCAGTCACCAGCAAAAAAATACAATTTTTTGTTTGTATAACTTAGACCGCAAGAAAATAAGATGTGTACAGTGTTTGTACGTTGCATACCGCGATGGGACTGTGGTGTAGCGCTAGAGCGTTAGACTCCAACTCGAGAGGCCGTGGGTTCGAACCCTCGTAGTGACACCTAATGTTTTTCTCAAGTAAGTTGTTTTTTCTCCTTATATATATCTCCTTAATTCGATTACAAAGATAATTTTTCAGTTATAACCGGCGGTTATACAAGTCTGCTGCCTCCTGCCCTCAACAGCATCGTCCGGTATAGCGACAATTCAACAAACAAATTATCTGAAACGATGTTCGTGTGTGTGTGTGTGTGTGTATGTGTTGAGTCCAGTTCCCAGGAAATATCCACACCCCCCCCCATCATTGAAAAATTAATTGATTTTTTTTGCTTTTTTTTGGTTTTATTTTTATGGCGATTCGCCCTAGATTTGTTGCCTAGTCGCCATTGACCCCCGTTTTAGGGCGATTTTCCCTGTTTTTAGGGCGATTTTACCGGAAAATTTCTATGAGTGAAAGCCGATTGACATTTTTGCGTGCGCTCTGACCCGTCCGTAACACCCAGCCTTAGCTTATTGTTTATAGGATGTCCGTTACAAATACTGATACACGTAATACACGTTTGAAGGTTTGTGAAACTCCCAATCCACTTATATTTACATTTTATTGTATTTTACTTAAAGTTCACTTAAGTCCGCTCACACGTTTATCAAAAATTCTGAAATATTAAAAATATGATATATTCCAGTGTAGAAGTGAATACGACCAAAAATAACAAAGCTAATTCGTTATTTCGCTAAAATTATTTCCGTTACTCAGCCGAGTTCCACGCCCACCTTATCGCCGTTCAACGCTAGCCCAGAAAACCCTTTCTAAAAAACAAAAATTAAAGAATGTTTTCTTTCAAGTTCCAAACCTGTGATACCAGACGAATACAAAAATGAAAACTCTTTCAGGCAAATTGAATAAATTTATTAATGATTTAAATAAGTTGGGAGAAGGAAATAAGCTAAAAGAAAATACATTATATAATTTCAATTTCCATAGGAACGGTTGTACCCTCTGTGGTCGTTGTAGTAGTTATATCAAATTTGATAGTATTATGCTTATTAGGATTTACTTTTGCTATCTGTTCATCTGGAACAAATTTATGTCCGCCACCTAGACCAAATCCTCCACCTCCTTGAATAACTTGTCCTTGATAATTATTATTGTTACCATTTGGACCTACCCTTCCTCCTCCTTGATCCGATCCTAGATATCCATTCTGATCAAATCGGCTATTACCCAGTGTACTTGGTCCTTGGAATCTATTTGCATCATAAACATTGCTACCAACAGTAGCTTCTTCTCGTTGAAGGAGTCCGTATCCATTTAGACCATTGCCGTTGATACCAATTGAAACTCCTCCTTGAGGGCCATATCTGCTGCCACCTGTACCATGCCAAACATCGCTGACAAGAACAGGTCCTGGTAGTCCTCCACCTCCCACTCCTCCTGGAAGATCTTCTGGATATTCACTAGGATAATATTCAGGTCTAGTAGGTGGGTATCCATTTAAACCATATCCACCGTTAGCAATGGTTTCTCGGACTGGTCCATGTGTCTGGGATCCTCCAACTCCAACTTGAACAGGTCCTGGGTTTCCTTGGGCTACACCTGAATCCAGATCGATCTGATAGTCAATCCAGGGTCTCATTTTGGAAACATCGGTGTAGGCTGCAGCGATTGGATCTCCGCATCCGACTCCGAAGTTGACGATGCCGACCTGCTCATAGCGAGTGGGATCGCCTTGGATCGGACAGGCCAGTGGAGCTCCTCCGTCGCCCTCGCACGAATCCTTGCCAGCCTCTCCACCGGCGCAGATCAGGCTGCTATCAAGCTGGAAGGCTGAGGTAAATATTCCCTGCAATTGCCTCTGGCACGTGTCTCTGTCCACCAACGGCACCTCGATCTTCTTCAGTAGATTCATGTAGCTGATGTCGTTCCAGTTCTTCTTACCCCAGCCACTAACGATACATCTATTCCTTGAGAACTTCCAATTTGCTGGCGGCAGGCAGATGAGGTTTATGTGACGGGATAGTTGAAGAGGTCTGTCGAGGAACAAAAGGGCCACATTGTTGGCCGCGGTTATCTCATTGAATCCTGCATGACGCACGATCTTCCTGACGAGCACGTCCTCATGTTTTAGCTGCTCGGTTTTGGTATGAAGATCCCATTCGCCAGCCCGCACGATGAACTGGTTCTCGGCGAGATTACGGATCACACTGGCTGTTGTGAGCACCACAGCCGGTGTGATCAGGGAGCCACCGCCGATCGGCTGGAGGTATTGGGCATCCAGGAGTACCACCATCCAGGGAAGTTCGCCCTCCTGCGCGGTGTCCCCCGAGTTGGTCATGGTGAAGGTCAGGCCATTGCGATTTACGTTTCCACAACCCTGCATCGGTCGATAGGGTACCTGATTCGTGATTGGAAATAGTGACTGTAAAGCCAAGTGCTTGTTAATAAAAGTTAATAGTTTGTTATTTCTATGAACATTACAGTTTCCTCTAAGGGACAGCAGGTTTCGGCAGCAGGGCATCCTTCATTGCCGCTTTGTACAAATCGGAAAGTTATTTGGGGCGTTCCGGTTTCGGAGCCAACTCTGCAACGGTTTCGCGCCACGCAATGTTTTTGGTAGTTATTACCGCAAAAAAGGGCCTGGACCCCGTAGAGCCCCAGGAGCAGACAAAAGATCGAAAGGCGAACCATTCTGGTCACCGGATTCTAAGCAACTGTTGTCTGCCTCATAGGTCGCCTCCATATATAGGCCATTCAACAATACGAGCGAGAGACTTATTCATCGAATTTGATAAGGTCTGATAACCCCGTAACATTAGTCGTGTGTATATGGGGAATACAAATTCGTTGAAATTATCAATTTAAAAAAAAAAAACTATGATGAGTACATTTTAAATGTTATGTCCATTGGGAAACTCCAAGAATACCAAAATCTTGTGTCACACATTTTTAATGATAAAAAATGTATTGTGATTAGGTTTTAAATATGTTTGAAAAAAATCAAGCTAAGAGTCAGAAAAAAAAACTGGTTTGGTAGGCAGAGTAATGAGACACCCGTAGACCCGCTTTTAATTACGTCAAGTTTGTGCGTCTGTCGTCCCCCCTTAACATCTCATTAATTTACAAAATTTCCCGTAATTTCCTTTTCATTCAGCTCTCAACCGCAAACTCACCAACCATCTGCCGCAGTGCAAACGCATTACAATTTTATTTTTATTCAATTTTCGCGCAACGACATCAAAGGGCGGAAAAGCGGAAAACAGCAGCGAGTGCAAAAGTCGACTTGACTTCGTGTAATACAATTTTCACCTTCCTTTCCGTCATTTCCCCATCATGCTACCAACTGCCTTTCATTTTTCTCTTTTTTTTCCTGAAGGAGTCTTATATTTTTACATAATTTAAGGGGACGCCGAACGGAGTTTCAATCCACTGGGTCAGTTTGCCATTTCTTTATGGAGGCCTTGGTAATGCCCGGATCTTGATGATGTTGTTGCGGCAGCCATTGCATTGACCACTAAAAGTTTGCCATTAAAGGGCATGAAATTGTCCTATTTTTCACTGGAGCAGCGCGGTCTGGTCTTTCACAACTACGGCAAAGTGGCACTTGAGTGGCGGCACTTTGAATGGGGCTTATGGCGCCCGGTCCACCCCTTTTGGCCCTCTCCTCCTCGCCCTCACTCACTTTAAGCGTAAATTATGTTGTAAATACGATTTTTTAGCTAGCAAAATGTCTTCATCATCAAGTGGTTTGCTCAAGGATCCTCCCTTGGCCACCCACTTCGAATGGCACCAAATGGTGTAAAACCTGCGCTCCTCAGCTGGAGGCCAGAAAGGTTGCTAAGTGGATGTGGGTGCTTTGGGGAAATGTGCGAAAATATTGTTTAGGGCAGATTGGGTTAGGGTTCCCGTGATGGAATGGCTAGAAACTAGGAAGAACAAGTTCGATTTAGTGGCTGAGAAGTTGGGTTTTCTCATATATAAATTCACCTTTAATAAAATAGAAAAGAAAAAGTGTTTCCTTGTTTTTAGAAAATTATTTATAAAAGTTCATATTTAATTGCTTACTTACTCACAGCAAATATTATTGATAAGCTGGTAAAATATTAACTAAATTAATGGTTTAAATTCTTAAATTCCTGAACGACTTCCAGTTGAATTTAATTAAAAATTGAATTCCCTTGGCGGCGAAGCTCACCTCAACTCAACTCACTTCATTTGATATTCAATTCCCAAACTTGCCATAATTCTGCCAAACATTTGCATAAATACTGAGCGAAAGATTATCAATAGCCCCAAGGCAATCGGTGAAATCCTTGCGGCCGTATTTAAACTCAAATGCGGCATAATAAGCCAGCTGAAAACCCCGGGCCGCGGGGTAGAGACAGGATTGGATTGGCCAGCGAATGGGTGAGATTTCTCCCGGCCAAAAATGTGAAACTAAAGCCAAAGCTGCTGGCTGGATTTCGACAGAAAATCACTACCAGAAATGTCCTGCAGCGTCATTTGTAAGAGCCTTTGGCACTCTGCCCTTCGGCGAAAGAGAAGGAGAGACAACGCCTTTAGAGGAAGACAGCCACTGGCCAGCAGGATACACTTAAGTCTAATGGTTCCCCTCCTCCCCTCGTATCCCTAGCCAGGATATCGCAGCCACTCGCAGGAATGGAATCCGCTCAATGCGAACTGCCGCTGCACGCATACAAATTGACAATTTTATTAGCACATAAATTAGTAAAAATAATCAATAAGCAATGTGCCAAAAAGCAGTCGACGGAAGGGAAGCCAAGTACAAATGCACCTCAGTTCGAATGGAAGATACTCTATAGCTGAGATAATTTATTACATTTATAAAATTTAAATATAACATAAACTCTTCATTTCTTAAAATTTATTAATTCTGATGATTTATTTAAAAAATTAGGTACAACACATTTTTAGATAATAAATCCTTTCTATTACATTATACTTTTCTACAGATTCCCAACAAAATCTAGAATGAAAACAAAATTGCCTTTTGTTACTTGCAAAGCTAAACATTTTTTCCTTGGCCCCACAAAGAAGTCGGAATTTCTTTTTGCAAAGGACCAAAAGAAAGGGAAGCTAATGCTCAAAATTGGAATTGGTGGCTGGCTGGAATAAATTCAATTTATTGGCTGTATTTATGCTGTGTCCCCGCAACGTCTGTTTCCCGATGGGCAAGTGGGAAATGGAATGCCAGCGATTGCAATTACCATGCCAATGCCAGGACCAAAACGATACCAATACCGATACCAAAGCCAAACTGAAGAAGAAGCCGTCTTGATGGCGATGATGCCGAGTCGGGAATATTGGTCAATTAGCAGCGGGTCAGCGTCAGACTTGTGCAACAATACAGGCGACTGGAGATGCCGGCTAATTCGCAATTCCCAGCTTTTATTCCTCCTTTTCCTTTTCCTTCGACTTGGCTAATTGCTTAATTCACGAGCACTTTCGCACTGCATACTTTTCGGAGTCCAACCCCCCAAACACAGTTTTTCAACTATTTTGCGCCAAAAAAAGTTGTGCGACTGCCGCCTGCTAAAAACGATGATGATGATGATGGTGATAGCGATGATGCTTTTGCTTTTGCCGCTGTTTTGGTGCTGTTTCTGTTTTTCCCCGAGTTGTTTGTTGTTGAGCGCTAATTAACTAGATTTTCGAAGGGAAAACCGTTTGCTAATTTGAAAACGAAATAGTTTCCCAGCCAGCCCCTCCGGCGTCATTTTCAAATGAAAAGTTATGAAACATGCAGTGATGGTGGATGCGCTGCGGTCATGGGAGATTCAACGCCAGTTGCGCAATTTAAAGCAACTTTTCCGGCCAGACGAGAGAGAAATCGACTAACTCTGCTCATTACCAGGGGGAAATAATGCAAAATATGGGGAGAAAATCGGGTAAATGTGAAATGAGCATATGCCTATGTGGGGAAACTTTTAAAGCGCTGAATGTAATGTGTGAGTTTTTTTCGTATTAAATCTATAAATATTTACTAGACCCCTAAATATTTATTTAATGATTTTCCGATAGCTTTTCCTTGGGGCTGCTATAAATTGAGCCCATCAAAGTTTTAGACCTCTTTAAGATCCTTAAAATAACCCCCTTTCCGACATCAGGTCAGTCGCCTTCATTGAATGCAAATTTTCCCGCCTGGCACTCGGCCAAAAAGAATAACACAGCAGACGAAGTGGGAGTTGGGCCACTTAAATGGCGGAAATGAAATACAAGGCGACGAGAAACGGAAACGGGGGATCAAAGATGAGGGATCGGAAAGGTCCTGGAAAGGGGGCTTTGCCTGGGCGGGTCGCACAACTCGCTGTCACACTTAACTGAAATTAGAACGTGATTAGATTTCATTTAAGCATTAAGCACAACTGACAGCCAGCATGACAGCAGGGAGGTTCTCGCTTCTCGATTCCCGGTTCTCAGTTCTCCATTCTCTGGGTTCTCGGCTGGGAAATGATATTTTGAGCTGGCAAATTTATTGACAATTAGCCGGCTATTGTGAGTGGGCTTTGCAGGGGTGGTTAGTGGATGATAGTGACCTGCCCAGGATAGCGAGCATTAATTATAACGTGCATAATTAACAAATCTGGCAATCGGCGGTGTAGCGGCTTTAACTCTAGCACACGGGGAAGGGCCAGAGCCAATAATCGTTTGGCCAGGCAGCCAAGGCCAAATGCTGGAAATCAGGGGGTCTTGGCCATTGAGGCAGCGCTAATGAAAGCACAGGCGGACGAAATTGGTTTACGGGCTGTTCACGCAACTAGAAGTTATTAGTTGAGCTCCCCCCGCCGGTTACTTCCACTTTCCGGGCTAATTTGCGGTATTAATGACAGCAAGCGGAAGGGGAGGGGTCCCAAGGGGAGGGCCATCAAATTTCCCCATAATTGGCAAAGCAATGCCATATCTCTATCGCTAATGCAATTGCGATAATCAGTGAGAGCGAACGTCGCTTAGACCGCTGTCTTTAACTCTCAGCTTTGAGTGATTTTAAGGGTAGTATGAGTTCTAATTATGATAAGTTGTAGACTACTATTATTTACTATATGTAATAACATCCTCAAAACTTGAACATAATTATTTGTGTTTGCTAAAAGCCTTAAAAATTAGAAAAAATAATTTTTTTTAACATATTTATTTGATACAAAATATATTTATATATTTTTCTATATTTCTTGTTATGTTTTTATTTATTTTATATTTTTTCTTAAGGATTTAACTCTTTTCAACACTTTTTATATTGCAACGATAGAGAGACCCATTTTATTTTGATTATCATAATCAACTTGGTCTTCCCTGAGAAGAATGGGCCACTAAGAAAGCCATCAAGGCCGGAAAAGAGTCGAAGACCCGACGACCCGCATCACCTGGCACCCACACACTTGAATTTCGCACCTGCCGGGAAAGGGCAAAATAAAAACACACACAATGTCAACTTTATCGCTGCCAAGCTAAACAAATACAAATAGATTAGTTCAAAAGTTCAGGGCGTTGTTCGAACGTTTGGATGCCAAAAGTCAAATTGTGTCAACTGTTGGGGCGGCGAAAAGGGCGGGAAACATGTCAAGGCTGCTCGAAACAAGTCGGCCGACATGTGGGTGGTTCGACAAGCTAAACAAATTGCCTGAGAGTCGGCAGATTGACGGCTGGACCGGCTTATTGAAATGCTTCGAGTGCTGGCAATGGGG